ATTTCGTTGTTTGCACCTCCGCGGTCCACCTAGCTCACATACATAAGACACGAACTCTAGGTAATTACGTGCATATTTACACAAGTTTGATAGCTGACCAGCCGATCTTGCAACCCAATTTTCCTTTCCAATCTGTGAAGATTGCTATCTGAGCAGCCTTAAGTAAATGGCGAAGTACCTACGCGTACACTGTACAACATGATAATTTATATTTTAGGATAACCTTATCGCTCAATGATTTCAAAAGGCTTCAAAAACAAAATATGAAAGGAATCCGGAACAACTCAATCAACTCAACTAGCCGTTATTGTAGCAAAACAGTCTTTTTCGAACAAAACACATACATAATCGCGGGAATGGTAACTGCGTCGTGTCCGAAGCAACCACACAATCACCTTCTCTGCCAATCGAAGACGGCTGGTACACTCACTTGGACGGTTTTGCGTCTTGTGGCAGCAGCTGCGGCAGAGGCCATATCATCGACAGCAGCATCAGAAACTACATCGGCAGAATGAAGTGGTAAAGGCGGTAGCAGAAGAGGGAACAGAAAGAAGACGTAAGAAAATAAGAACACTAGTAAGCAGGACAAGAAAGCTTACAACAGATAGCAAAAAAACAACAACAACAACAAACAACAACGAATATCAGCAAGATCAGCAGCAGCAGCGACCATGACTGCCAGTCGCCTGCTGCCCTCTTCGCTTCTGCTGATGTCGCTCTTCGTCACCGCCATCGGCGTCTTTTTCGAACGTCAAAACGTACAGCTAGCCGGTACCGCCGCATCTGTCACCGCCATCTCGACGATGCAGTGTGGCGCCCAGTGCAGTGCCAAAATCAGCGCTTGTGAAGCCTTTGATTTCCGCGCTAGCGATCGCGCATGTCGTATTTTTCGGAACGTCATCTTTATTGGTGAGCAGGACGATGGAGCTGGTGTTGTCAGCTATCTGAGACAGGAAGGAACACCGGTGCTGAATAGTGGGGCAGGTTCAGCTATGGAGACAACTGCTGACGCGGTGACTTCGGACGCATCGACTGCAGGTCCACCAGCTGCAGAAACAGGAACAGCATCAACAGGAGAGGTGACAGCAGAGACAACAGGAACAACCACTTCAGGACCAGCCATTTCGAAAACAATTGCGGAAGCAAGCATGCTCGAGCAAGCATCTGCAGAAATAGCTTTGGAAAGTACAGCTGCTCCGCACACAGCAACGCCTCACGGCACAGCCCGTGAAGCAGTTAACTCAGTATCTGAAAGCAGAAGCACGGAAGCACAGACCAGTTCCACTCCGTCGATTTCTACTTTCTTGACCACGCTGACTTCAACCACACTGACTGCTGCCTCAAGTACTACAACCACCACGACAGCTGAACCGGCATCTCGACCACTTACACAAACAACAACATCAGGAGCGGATACCACTAGTTTACCAACAGCTGAAACTCACCCAGCCAAGACGACGGATTCGATGACTGGTGAGTGGAATTATTTTTGCACTTTTTGTCGCCATTTATTATCGGCCACCCCACCGCCAACGCAAAGTAGTGTAAATATTGTTCCCAAATTTTGTTTCTGCTTGAGTTAAGTTTGTTTAAGTTGAGTTTGATAGTCGTTGAAGCTCGTAATTCGGTTTTGCTTGTTCACCAGCTAATTTGTCCAAGTTTATCCGAACTTGAATGACCGATAAATCCCCGGTTTCCCGGTTTCTTGTTACTGATGAAGACTAAACAAAATGTCAGTCGCCCACTCGGTCTTGCCACAGTAACTCAGTGATGGACGGTTATCAAAGCTGTCACTCACCCGGCCTTTGCCCCCTACCTCACCCTCTGTGTCCGTAGTGGCCCCAACAACGCGTGACTGGAGCGACTGCACCTGCCCTGCCGGTCACGCTCTCTGCGCAGGACGCTGTTATCTATTCCTGGACATCATGCTGAGCTATGGAGAGGCTGTTATCCGCTGCAGTGAATTTGGCTACGGTCTGGCGGTACCCACGACCGACGAAGAGTTCAACTGTCTGATAAAAATCGCCATGGGCAGGAGGGCATGGCTGGGGGTACGACGAGCAGCTAGCGGAGATCATTTCGTTGGATGCGGCGGAAAGGTCTCGTTTGGGCTTGACCATCATTTCTGGGCGTCGGGTCAGCCGGGAACCTCGAGCACGGAGAACTGTGTGGAGCTGCTACCTGACGGTTGGAATGATGTCCTGTGCACCAACTCAGGACCGAGAATGTTCTGTCAGGTGCCCGAGCCTCCTCTTTGTCTTCACTGAGATGTTAACGTGAGCTGACATGCTGGATCAAATTCCGTACGCTCATTCCAGTGGACTGATTGCTCTACTAGGGATGGTGGCGTGTTCGTGTGACAATGTTAAACCTATGCACCGTGTTAGGCGTTTGGAAGGAGGGTGTTCTCTGTTCTACCTGAGATTGGTGTAATGGATGTAATGACGCTTCAAGGTCACTACAAACGCCCATAATAGTCGGTGGCCTAGGATACAATGACTGTATGCAGAGTTTTCAGTTCGAGGTCGCTTCTTTAGAGGACCACCAACTGAAGCCTCATCGCACTACTGATATTCTCGACCATTGACCACTACATACAATAAAGAAATCTGTGGTGGTCTATGCCTTGATCTATGTTATCTAGAGATAGAGCTGCCAATATAAAAGAAAAACACAATAGAGTTATATTGTCTCTGGGTAACCATTGACAAAATCATTGAAGTTTTACCTAGATTCTAGCTCTTTGTTAGAACTTTTTTTTCACATTTTTTAGATGAAAGCAGACGATGATCCGGTTTTCCTTTATAGTAATTGTGGACTTTTTTAACTATTCGTCCCCCCCCCCCACCACACACACATCTAGGTACTATGTAGGTAGTTCACAAGCACAGTGCGGATGAATTTCGGGCGGGGCTGAACTCATGATGGGCACATGGCCGCTCACACAACGGCCTGGGAACGTTCAGCTGCCACCTGATACGCTCCTCTAATGAATATACCGCAGTTGAATACGCCATAACTGAAGGCCAGACATGTAGGAAAAACAGACAGGTCCAGTAACTAGGTAAACATGTGTTCAATAACATGAAATGCCTAATGGCGTTCAGCATAGGTATACGTTATCCTACCTACCAACTAGTTGTTTTATGCTGTCATTGACAACATATTATTCAGCGCTATTGCATATTACAGGATAACGAGCAATCATGACTAACTGAAAGGAACACATTTTGTGTACACTGGAATGCAATATTTCCATCTGTCTAAAAGAGTGATTTTGCCATGTATGTATTTACACCATGGGTCAATCAATGACCCATTGTGACCCGTCTGGTTGTGTGCGGAGCGGTCAGGGAGGCTCGTCAGTCGTGGTGTAGCGGGCCAGCCCGGCCGGCCCGGATCCCTGTGCAAACGGTTTACTTGATTCTGGCCGAATACGGATCACGAGACTCTGATCAGAGACTACATGAACAATGAATGAAACAATCAACTAAAGGCAATGAACTAAGGCTCTGAATCAACTCATGACGCAGTCTCTGGATTAGAAGTCTGCTCGCCTCCTCTGTCAGCTCTTTGCTCATCATTCAGCTCCAGACTCCATCCACTTCTCAGCCCCTGTCTCAGTCTCTACCTCAGCTCCTGTGTCAGCCCCCGCCTCCGCCCCGGCGACCTGGGCCAGGTCAGTGATACGACCGACCTCTGCCGGCACCTGTGTCCTCCAGAAGGAGGGCTACGGCGTCATCACGGCAGCCGTGTTCCTGACCTCCACCTCCGTGGGCGCCAACCTGCTGAACGTGCCGCAGGGCATGACGTTTCTGGGTGAGTCCAATCACTCTTTCAGGTACTCTTTTAACTCTTCTATGCTAAGGCGCAGACAAAACCTAAAAACTAATTTATAGCTACATTACAAGTGCATTACAAGGTAGTCGTACTAAGCACTTAGCACAGGCATGCGTACTCTTTTCCGGCCGTTTTGTCTCCTGCTACTGGCGCCAGACGTCTGTGTTCACGTTTTTGTTTGTTACAGGGAAATAACTCGCACATGGATACATTGGTATGTATATGTACAATGTATAGCTTCAGGAACCTACCTAATGACGTAAGAATGATGTAATGAGGAAAGTCATCTCCAATGTGTTTACCGCCGTGCCGTGTGAACTTCCGAACACTACTGACCTTTTCCGATAAAGGAATATTCTTCGAAATGCCACATGCTTTTAACATTTCGATAGAAACATCGACGATATCGCCACCACCTTATGTTGAAAGCAGTTAGTTATGCATAATGCGTTCTGGGCGGCGGTGTTGGCTCCGTTGAGAAGTCTTCCCCTCCCCCTCCCAAAGAGGAAGTAACCTTACGTAAACAGTCGTCTGGACGCCCACTGCTGACCCGCGCTGACCCGCTTTTGCTGTGCCTGCGGTTGGGGGCTCGACCGGTTAATATTTCATAATGGTCACCAGCTGGATGACATGACATAGCTTTCGCATCAAAAACCAGTAACAATAATGACAAACGTCGTGTTTATAGGAGTTGATGCTCACTGGTTTGGTCAGTTTAGCTGCTCATTTCCTCGTTTGTGGCCAGGTGCCAGTCGCTAGGATTATCGTGAACCTTCAATGAACAAAACATCACCGCGCAGTGTCATCAAAGTGACACACATTGGGCCCCGGAAAACGGGCGAGGAAAGCAAGAAGCGATGAATGGACACTCGATACAAACAGCGGGATATCAGAAATAACTTTTGCTAACTATAGTTCCGACAATGGAAAGCAGCAAGCACTGCTCTATTACTTTGTGCTGCCTATATACTTTAACACAATATTTTGTACAAATGCGATTTGTGTAAATGAGTGCATGTCTGGCTGTGAACCACCATTTATGTCGTCATTTCTCAGTCCGGAAGCCGACCCGCCGCTGGCAGGCTGACTGGGCCTGTCGCTGATGACCCTTTGCGTTGCCCCCGGCTTGCCGAGTCTGCCGATGCTGGCCGCGGCTGGGCTTCGAAATAAATGCCTTTATTTATTCCAGCGCAAACACTCGAATCGAAAGTATTCGAGAAAAACTCGTATAACATTGCAAGACAACACTTTTTTATAGATAAAACGGCAATGTTGCTTTTCGATATTAATTTTGTACCCATTGGACGGATGCATTTGTTTAGAGAGCGGTGAGTTCGCAGACAAAGTGGAAGGCCACGTTGCAGTAGGTGTCGTCCCAGGTTCCGCCCTCGGTTTTCCAGATGTAGGCACAATCACAATCCGTGTTGTCAGGTTGTCCGGCATCCCAGTTCTGCAAAAAAATCGTGCATTTGTAAGAAGGGGAAATATGACTCTCGAATAGCATGTGAGATGGTGACAACAATGTTTGATTAATTGAGCGACTAGTTACGTAAATATACACTAGAATTGATCTATTTTTGCGTTATTCGGTTAAGTCTAAACTCGTCCGCTCTTTGCAGATTGTGTTAAGTCATTTGTCTACTCTACAGTCAAGAACGCATGAAAGTTCGCACATTATCACCTAAACGCAAAAGTCCTACAAGCCTCAGCAGTCTTCAACCTCTTATTTACCGTGTATACCAAGGATTCCCCGTTGGCCCACTTCCAGTCACCCTCGGTGTCCATATCATTCAGTCCGATCCACGGCTGAAGATGGCCAAACTGACTGTTGATGAAGGCGTTCTCATCCCTGAAACCACACATCGAATTGTGCTCAATGGTTTTGGTTAGCGTGGATGGATTAGCGATTCGTCCCTTCAACGGCTGGAATTTTGATGCCACGAATTGTGATTATTTACGGACGTTTGTAATTACACAGCGGCAATGCTACTTTTACGGCAAACATAGGTACGGTATTTCCTTTTTGTTTTACAATTATCTACGAGCAGCTGAGTGCGGCACAACAGTCGGCTAAATAATCCTCACGTTCAATGTTCTCAATCAACATCTCTTTATCCATTTGAAATGCTTCTGCTTCTTTCAATGCATTATAAAGGACCAGTTAACCCTCGCGGGCCCGGGGAGGGGCGTTTTTCGCCCTCCCCCCTGGCTAATATTTGCGATAGCTCCCGAACACTTAGGGATAGGAAAGCGAAACTTTCAGTACCTTTTCTCTAATCAATTTGACATCTTCTGAAGTAAAAAATTTAGACCTAGCCCCCTTGATGACGTCACAGGGCCGATTTTGCTAGACCCCTGCACGGCAAACTTCGGCGTCACAGACGCAAACTTTAAATAGCTGCTAGAAATAGAGTTTTAGAGATAAAGATAAATTACGAGCACGGTTGTGTAGTGTTTGACCTAGAGAAAAATAGAAAAATATTTTTGGTAACCTGAGGTCAGAGGCCAGGTCAACGACCCCGAAATGTGGTTTTAGTTTTTCGCAAATAACTTCGACAAAAATGGTCCTAGTGCTTCGGCAGTGGTACCATCGCATTCGTCTTGTCAAGCCGCGTCGAATGATATATATTTTGTTTGGAAAAGGTCAAGTTTTATGTTGACCTCACGTGACCTCGAATGACCTTTGGTTGACCTTGACACATGAAAGGTCGCCTATGATGGATTTGTACCTGCTGATCACGAATCTGGCATCTATTTTCCTCTACACCTTCATTTAGAGCTTCCGGATGGCAAAATTGTCTGATTTATTATTACTAGCTTGAATCAGTGAAATAGCCTCTAGCAAGGATACACTTCTGTGACCTTGACCTTTGAGCAGCCTTGTATCGTAAGATGAACCATAAATAGGGAACTAATAAGCCTCAAAACATTTCAAAACATCTTCGAAGTTAGCACGCAAGATGCACGAAAAAGTGCAAAATTTGAGGTCAATTTTGATCGTGACCTTGACCTTGACCTTTGATTTTGAGCACAATTTCGGAATCCTCTGACTCTCTTCTTTCGTTTGACATCCAATTTTGCCGGTTTGATGCATCCTGCCGTCCTCTATGTAGAACGCTTACTTTGAGATCACTACAAATGTGCCGGTTTTTGCCTTTGACCTTGACCTCTGACCTTGAAAATTGACCTGAAGTCAAAAATCTTAGGTACTTTAGAATCGTCTCGTAAGGACCTTTCGTTTGGTATCGCTTTTGTTTCCGTAACTCCCTTATTTACGGAGTTAGACAGGGGGGGGGGGGGGCGAAAAACGCCCCTCCCCGGGCTGCGGTGGTTGGGATTACCCCCCGGGCCCGTCCAGGTTAAACAAATCAAACGAAAAAGTCGCTCACTCGGTAGCGATGGAGGTCAGATGAGCGCCCCACTGCATCTCCTCACAAATCTGCCTGGCGCCATGCCATGAGAAGTTTGAGTTGGATCCATAGTAGCAGCTGCCGTTAAATTCCAGCCAGTCGTCGGGGCATAAACCAAGACCACCTGAGGGAGGAGACACATAGAAAAGAATAACATTGACAAATAATGTTAACAAAAGCAAAATAATCTATAAAAAAAAATAATATTGGGATCCTAGCCGCTTTGAACAAGGACGAGAAAAAAGCCATCCTGTGTTTGATCGGTGTTTGAAAAATTAATGGTTGTTTGAGCGGATGAAAACAGCAACAGAGACGACACACGGCACATAAAATGCAAGATTCATCTTTTACATAAGCATGGTTCGTAATGATTGATATCTGATACCAACGAATACCTTCCATATAGGTATTTGTCGCTGTTACTCACCGGTCGGTAGCGTAACTAGCAGGGCTAGTGTTAGCTGGGTTATTGGTGAGATCGTAAGAGACCGGAGAGGCACCATGGTGAGCAGTGAGAGACTCTGTGATGAGTACTGAGAGCCGGCAGGTGTGAGAACCAGCCGGGGGGGGGGGGGGCGTCCCGACGCGATAGAATCTGTTAGATAGCAGGGGCATCGCTCCGGGCAGGGGAGCGACCTTGCCGCAGGGAGGCAGGGAGGCTGACAATGCTACATAGGGAGAGGTGAAACGAGAAGGGAGAGGAGACTCATAGAAAGAGAGGATGAGAGAGAGAGAGAGAGAGAGAGAGAGAGAGAGAGAGAGAGAGAGAGAGAGAGAGAGAGAGAGAGAGAGAGAGAGAGAGAGAGGAGGGATGAAGAGCTAGTGAGGGAGGGTTGTGAGTTCGGAGTAGCTAGCTCGGAAAAATCTACCCAGTGATCATTTCTGCGGGGTAAAAACTGGATGAATATCTATCGAACGTAATCGGAGGGTTACAATTATTCACTGCACCATTGAAGTTTGGGAGCAGGTTTAGTTCAATTTTCCTAGCCAAGAATATTTTACTCACTACTTCGAATTTCGAAACAAATAAGGGGTAACTACGTTGCTGGAGAGGGAAGCCTCTGTGTGTGTTCTCGCCCAGCCCAGGAGTTTTTCATCTATCCGAATCGATTGAGATTATGTCTCTGCCGGACGGACTGAGAAGATGACAGGGAGGGAGAGAGAGAGAGAGAGGGGGAGAGAGAGGGAGAGAGAGAAAAACATGTAGGGGGAGCAAAGAGCAAAGAATGTACAGGATTTATTAAAATGAGTATTTTTTAATTTTATTTTCAACATGAGCTACAATATTTTTTACCTTTTCGGCTAGAGAGCAGATGAAATCCAATTCAGGCTCGCGAGGTACACATCGTTGATCGCTCGTAACGTTTGCGTTAGTGTTACACCTGACCTCCAAAAACACAACTCCCTGCCCCTGGCGGCCCAAAGTGGAACGATCCGTTCCATGCGCCCTGCCCACGAGGGTGGAGCGTTGGGTGCTCACAGCCCACACCGGTGTGCTGCTCATTGGTGCCGGTATGCACTGAGTACTAACGCTCACACGATCGACCGCGCTGCACTCGTCAGTCTGCCGGTGACCCAGCTGGGGCGCTGGTGGCTGCTGCTCGTGGCTCGTGGGGTAAGTGAAGGGTTGGTGTCAGAGGTGGTTAGTGAGTGATTTGGTGAGGTTAGTGAGGCCGGAGTGGTGTATTGGTGTGGTTTCTGAAGTCACTGCAACCCGAAGTTGAGCTGCTTTTAGAAGCGATGTAGCTGTCATTTTGATTGGCGTGTTTGATTGCGGCGAATGACTAAACGTAATTATTTTTGCTTCCAACAGTAACGCAGTGGATTTGCCCAAGCATAGGAGTAACGATATGGGAAGTACAGGCCGGGATTATTTGATGTAATTTTTTGCTTGCACCAATAACCCTATCGATGGTTGTTTGTCTTCTTGATTTATGGCTTTCGCTAATGTTTGCCTGGAAGCGATGCATATAATGAAGTGCATGTTATCCAAAGGCACGTAAGAACTGCCGGCGCATCATAACTAGTCCACTAAGGTCATGATCATTATATATGTTTTGCATGGAAGATTCGCTTACGCGTATTCAGATTGTCACTAGCGTGCATAGCTGCCATTTGCAGGGAGATTGGCCCACGTTTCCGAGTCGCCTAAATAACTACAAAAACTACAGCGTAATAGGCGCAAAATGACGGTTACTATTATGAGTGGTTTATCTTGAAATGCTATCGTCTCATTAGAGATGAAAACATTGGAAATTAATAGCATTTTGTCGCTTATAAGATAAGGGAAATGGTTGGTACAGGGCTATCAGCTGACGAATTTAATATTTGTCGTTTTCTCGTAAAATGCCATAGGGAAAACACAATGGCCTCGTTTTCCTATCTTCTTGCACAGTAAGCGAATTAATAGAAATTACCATGAAATACGGTGTTTCAATGGCGAGTTATCTTGCTGATTTGCTGGATGTTCTCCCAGGTAAAAAAGCTACCAGACACCTTCAGCTTCAGCAAACCTACCAGAACACCCTCAAAACATTTGGAGAGTTCTCGGCGACATGATGAGCTTTCGGTCCGGTATACCAAGAAGCGCGAGGGGATTCTTCTTTTGGATTGCAACTGCCGTGCTCCTGATGGTGGGAAGTCTGCAGATTTATCAGTCACAACGGTACTTCAGAAACTTCGGTAAGTCACTTTGTTGAGATGTGCTGCAGTGATGTATACTTACGTCGTACTAAGTAGTTACTAACTAAGTACTAAGTACTAAGTAGTTAGGTCGTGTGGTTGGATGGTAAGCGTTGAGTAGTGATGTAGGTGCGTACTTGCTGCTCATCCTGGTGAATCGGAAGCAGCATCAGACAACATGTGCATTATGCAGCTTCAAGAAAGTCTTTATCACTTGTGGCCAGTAGCGGCGGAACACCTTCAATTAAGGGGGGGGGGGAACTGCCGACTTTTGGTCCCATTCTTTCCATGCAACGCCCATTGGGGTACCTAATATTAAAATGCCAAAATCAAAGGGGCGGGCACGGTGCCCCGGTGCTCTCCCCGTTCGCCGCCTATGTTTGTGGCTTATTGTAAGTAACATGATACGGAGGTGGACTGCGATCTATACCACCCATGTTTATTTTTTGTTAATAAGGTAGATAATTGGCGAACTACATAACAAGGTATTGAAAAGAACATACAGTTTTTTTTTAGAATTTCAAAGTGTATTGTAGAAATTGTATCGGTACATTATCATTTCTATAAAATCCGTATAAAATTGTGCGACATTTTATAGAGGTCGTAACACATGACAGAACATCTTTCAAAAAATGTCACAAAAGACATCTGCGTGACTTACATCTTGGCCATATGCTTTCGCCATTTTCACCAGTTGGCCTCAAAGCATTCGCCGCTCAGGCATAGCACAGAGTCACAGACCGTCAGATTCTATTATAGATGTACTGTTAGGTCGGAATTTTCCCCTTTATCACACTCGTCAGTAATTCTAGTTTTTATATCAGCCGCGTGGCATCAGTCCACCTGGGCAGAATGGATTGCCCCAGCACACAAAAAGTAACGGCCCGCGGCCCCGGGAGCCTCAACAAATATGTCAAGCTCGAGTTTCAAGCGGTGGCGAAAAAATTATTTGTATCACTAGTGTACTACTCGATGAATTTTAGTAAATCTCTGCAAATACGTGCAACGTTTGTGGTCATCATCATCATCATCATCAACCAGTTAATTAAACATTTTGTAAGACATTGCTTTTTAACATGCTGCAGACAGACGCATAAGCGATTCGCTTGATTTGCAGCGTCGTGTCTGAAATCAAACTAATTAAATAAAGATACACGAAACAAGGTACTGCGAAAGAATATGTTGAAATGGCGAAGGGTATGTACATTTTTAACTGTTATTTACGTTCATCACGTCGCCCAGCGCTGCCAAAGCGAAAACTTAGCTCTTGTTGATGAAAATTCATGAAGATCTAGCGAATCCTTTCCACGATGCTCTTTATCTATTTGTTCCCCAGCCATAAGCAAAATTTCCATAAGCGTCTTATTCTGATTTTTTACTATTTCTTACCTCTGGCGGTTTGATGTCTTACATTTAAATATGTCTTAAAATAATGGAAATGCCTACACGTGACGCTACAGCAGCGAATTATGTATGTATATTCGACGGATAGTCCCAATTTTTATTAAGTTGCCCTCCCTCGCTGTGCGGTTGGGTGGCCGCTAGACCGGGGCATATATAGTGATCAAGGATGAATGATTAGGATGGGTTGGCCCTGAGGATAGAAAGGACGGATGTGTTCCTAGTCGGATTTGTCTGCCACTGAAACGCTCATCGCCTTTCTCGGGACTGAGAGATTCGAGGATTCATTCGATCCAGCCTTATCCAGCAAAGCGTCGCTACCTTTTTCCCGGAGCGCTTCAGGGCCCATCAAAAGCGATGATACAGCGACGAAATTAATGTTAAAAAGTTGCACACAATGCATAGGTGCACCATGACGGAACGCTACTGTAGCAGGTTCGATTACATGGATAGCTCAGACAGTACCTATCATTCATTTTATTCAAACAATCACACAGACACCCCCAGCCTTTGTGGCGGATGTTATGTTGTGCTGAACTGATGTGTTGATTGTATATAATGATGGCTGACATGGTCTGTGAAAATCTACAGACCATTGCAGATTTGTAGTTGAATATCGCTGTCATGTGGTATACCCACTGGGCTGAGACGCTAGTATTCCCCCGGTATTTGCACATGATCGCGGCTCATTGGTCGGGATAGACATGCTTTTGGTTGGCTACCTTTCTTTACAAAGCACGCCGCTAAAACATGCTCTATTACGCTGAGACGCGAGTCGTAACGGTCCGGATGATCCATCATCTGTCTTTCGCCGTATGCACCGTGCACACCTCCTGGACTTCGTGAGCTGCCCGATAGGATCTCAGGTCATCGTGAACTCTGCGCCCGAGTCAACCGGGACGAACTGACCGAGGGATGATCGGCCTCTTTCGCGGTTGGATAGACCCAGATTGACGGTCACGGTTGGAAAGACGGCGATCCGCCGCAGCCTGCGTAGTCTCTACATATGATGTGTTTGGATGCTCCGAATCCGATGTTGGCATTACACATCAGTCAACAGTAATTCATGTGATACATTTAATACCGAAAAGATATAAATGACGTTTGTAGTTATTAAATAATGTCAGTGACACCAATAGTATAATCGAATGCGGCCGCCATGAGCATAAATACATGAGCATCATGGTGCGTATACTGACGAGTGACGCGTTTGAGCAATAGAAATTCAGCAAATGCTCTCTAATTGTATTATATTGTATTGTATTATATTGTATTGTATTGTGTATTAGAGCAGCTTCCACAATGTGGCTGTTACGGTTCCACGTCAGGTCCACGTCAGGTGTACCTACAGCACAGCACAAAACTCACACACCATCCACATTTGGCCACCATAAAATCGTTAATAAAATAAAATAAGAATAAAAGATAAAAGGTCATGATGAAAGGTGTTTTACAAGGATCGCAGAGCTGCTCAGAAGAGGCTGTCCCGCGCCGCATTGGGGAGCGGCCTCCAGGTGGCAGCTCCGCGATAAGAGAAGGCTCTGCGGCTGGACTCAGGCCTTGTGCGCTGCAGGTGCAGGTCACCGCCTTCGGACGGCCTCGCGTCGCTCGAGCGGACACGTCATTCCGAGGTGACGGTCACGTCACTCCTGATCCACCCAATGCGCTTGTTCGGATCTCCCCTTCCTGAGCGTAGGTATATTCGTGAGCGTGACACCAATTTGCATAGTGCATATGTGAGGTCCGGGTCAACTCATACCCAGTGGCCAGCTCAGTGCAGCGTGAGCTGGCAGATGTGACTGACCTGAAATGACCGAAACATCTGCTATCAGGTCTTCAGCTCAAGCATTAGCTCGCATCACCGCCTGTTTTGCACCGAGCAACACGTTAATAACTCACCCAATTAAGCAGTCATGAGTGACATAAGGAATTATGAGTAAATGATGCATTCAGTGTCACGGAAAACATGCAGCAACTATATAACCCAGTACAGTGATTGATTACCGGTTGCATCCAGTTTTCTCTCACCAGGGTTTCATGACTGTGATTCAGGCATGGTTCCACTGGCAGCGCGCTGCACGGATGCTGGCTTCTTCTCCCGGATGGAGGTCTGCATTCTGACATTGTGGCCGGCTGTGGCCACGGCTGGCTGCACCACTTCCCTCCCCCCCCCCCCCATGGCTGTTCAATGGCTGTAGGGTGGGGTGGCTGCAAAACAAAAATGTTTTTACATTTGCGAGCTATTCCATAAATGTTCCGAAAGCACGGCGATACCCACGGCACTGAGCTTTGGACCTGAATTTTGCAAGCTAAATTCAACATTCTGGCGATCAATCTATTTTGAGAGAAGAGAGAGAAGGAGAGAGAGAGAGAGAGGAGAGAGAGAGAGAGGAGAAAGAGAGAGAGAGAGAGAGAGAGAGAGAGAGAGAGAGAGAGAGAGAGAGACAGACAGACAGACGACAGATGAGAGAGAGACAGATGAGAGAGAGAGAGAGAGAGAGAGGAGAGAGAGAGAGAGAGAGAGAGAAAAGAGAGAGAGAGAGAAGAGAGAGAGAGAGAGAGAGAGAGAGAGAGAGAGGAGAGAGAGAGAGGAGAGAGAAAGAAAGAAAGAGAGAGAAAGATGGAGAGAGAGAGGAGAGAGAGCGTGAGAGAGAGAGAGAGAGAGAGAGAGAGAGAGAGAGAGAGAGAGAGAGAGAGAGAGAGAGAGAGAGAGAGAGAGAGAGAGAGAGAGAGAGAGAGAGAGAGAGAGAGAGCGAGCGAGAGAGGTACCAACAGCTTTGAAAGTGATGAATTTATGAAAACTTATGCTTGCTATTAAGCGGGGGGGGGGGGGGAGGTCGGGTGAACCTTTGGCCTGCGACCCTTTCTTGAGACCATGTCAGGCCAGAATCACGATTGGATGCAAGTCAGCGCACATTATCTGTGCACGTCCATCGTCCATACTTTTTGTAATTAGAAAACGTGCCAACATGTGAAATCATGTCAGGCCAAATGAAATATGGCTGGTGCCAAGCTGGTGCCAAGTTCAGATGAGTGTCACTTTACGGTCATTGACCTTAGATAAGCTCAGTTGACATTTTTGGTTTTACAACATTTAGAGTAGTTTTTTTTAGCTGATTTTAACCCTCGCCCGCACATGCCATTTTCCCATCCTAGAACGCACATGGGGGGGGTGGTTGCCACCCCCCCCCCGCGCCATTTCGTTCCTGTTGGAGATAGAGCTTAGCAGTAAAGACCAAAAAGATTCTTTGGGAAGAGACGAATCCAATGATACCCAGTTTTACCTTCTCAGGTCAGTCATTGACCTTCCAGGTCAGGTCAAACTAAAAAATGTTGCTGTTTTGGGTCACCGTTGGATATCAAGTGTGCTGCTTATCAAATACCGATGACGATGCTGTTTTCTGGTGCCAAGCCAGCTAGAACCTCTTTGTCACACTACCCGACCATAATTTTGCTGCTGAGGTCATTTCAGGTCAAGTTAGGTCAAGGTCAATTATATGTGTTTGTATGTCTGTGTGTGTCTGTGTGTATACTGATGTGTGCACCGATTGTTTTTGGGTCCATATTACATGAAATCATGATCTGAGAAGCTTTTACCAAAAATGCAGTCAAAAAACTTCAAAAAAAGTAAATTCAGCTTGCCTAAAACGCAATTATCTTAGGTGACCTAGGTTGACCTTGACCCTGACCTTGACCCCTGTACATCGTCGAACAACATGTTCCATGATAGGTGGGAGGTAAGACTGGCAAAAAAGGCCGAAATCAGGGTGTCAAAAGCTCATAAGGCCCATGGCAAACGCAAGATGTTGAGAATTGGCCATTTGGGTCATGACATGACCTGAAAAACAAGGTCATATCTCCAAAACCAAAAATCACAGAAACTTGAAATTTTCAGTGGACATCAAGAAAGGATAGAGGAGCAGCTATACGAAAAATCAGCCTTCTAGCTCTAAAAATGTGGAGTGCAGAGCAGAAAGACTACCTGGGGGGGGGGGGGGTGGCAACCACCCCCCATGTGCGGGCGAGGGTTAACTGAGCACTAATTTGAGTTGATGAGTTAAGTTGAAGTGACACAATTTATAGCTTTGATATGATTATGGTACGAAACAAAAATAGCCAACTTACAATTCAGCACCTCATGCAATGCACATACATACAAATATGTTTCGATTTTAGGTGCAACTGCCGCACTGCCTTAAGTGTACCATTGAAGTCAGTTGGGTTATCCACCGCAATCTCAATGTCCCAGCACCACGTTTTTATACTTCATTCTGACTTCTGGCGTTTCACCTTTCAGGCCCGCTGTTTGTCAACTGCAGTCATCGCTACTGTCTTCCTTCTGGCCTTTATGGCCAGGTGTCGTTGGGCGTTTCGGGTCAGAAGGCGTTTAACGGTGTGCCAGCAGGTAACGTACCGCACGGTTCGCGGGTTTACCAAGTCAGGAGACCATTTACGGTGCACCAGCACGTAATATGTGGACCGCGTATTGGACTGGCCACGCTAACAGCTGAGGCAGCAACATTTAGTTCATTTGCTTCGAATAGTGTTCTGGAAGTACACCTATCATTGCGTTAAAGTACACATAATATCGTTCGGGATGTTTCCCATGAAGTTCGGAATCAGCATTAGCGTAAATGCGTGCAAAGCGTTGCATATGCCGCAGTGTTATGTCATGGCACGAAATGAAGATACAAATATATTTGTCACATTAGCAATGATTAATGGCACTAGGAAATCGATGGCAGGGCTGGCGTAGAAACCAGTTTGCTACTACGTAGTCGTAGGTACTGTGCCTCTCCATTCGGCAAATAATCCTCTTTACCTACAAATTACTATAGTTGCCACAAAACGTTTGCAGTTTTCGTGTCAGGTGCGGCTGTTGGCTGTCATGTTACTACAGTTCTCTGTGCGCTAAAATACGATGTCCTGAGACCTCTTGCACCAATAATCAGCTTCTGGTGCATCTGACACACCACAAGGCTCTACCGTAACGCTTTACTTATCAATTTTGCCAAACAACTGTAGCTGCATGTTATGAGCTGGTCCAAAATAATTGACATCCGTAGGTTCTGATTGCGAAGTAGTTTGCCGACTTTACCTCGCTAGGCATCCTGGTGCAAACCTCAGTGCTACTATTCCCAATCTTCTCAACTCTGGGGGGCTGTTCGAGTTTCGCAATGCTTTTCGTAACCTAACCGTTATGTCCTGTGTGCATCATGACCGTTATGACCGTTTCCGCTACGTCCTGTCACTCTGCAACAGCCATCAATCTTCGCTCCACTCTGTATTTTGCAAACCTGTGCTACTTCCTGCCACCCCTGCGCCCCATTGATCGTTCTACCAGTCACTGAACCTCCCTTTCAAAATAGCTGGGAGGGGACAGCGGGAGGGGAGGGCCCCGACTATGGGAGACCCCCCAGGGCACTGATCAATGCGCACACACGCTCATTGCCATTGCATCGATCCCTTTACTGCTGTCGTGTTTTGGTGACAACATGGCGCATCCGCTGTGATGGGTGTATATCTTGTATGAATACATTACGACGCACGTGCTTCGTGGTACGCCTTTGACCTCGAAACTTGTGTGGGTGTGTTCTCTATTCATGGAATGTAGTGTCATGTGTACATAATAGGTTGAATGTTTATTTATCTTCTATGGTGTCAACACATTATTTCGTGACAAATGCTAGGGCGGTGAATCTATTGAGCGTTTATACCACATTCAGAAGGTTTCCCACTGAATGCAGCCAGTCTGCATCGGTATTGCAGGCATTCTGTACTGACTATTGTGTCTAAATAATTGTCAACTGCTGTGGATTCACGAATTTAATCGTCTTACCCTTACATGCAAGTGAAACTTTATGTTGTGGCGTGAGGGCTTATTGCCGGTGAAGCAAAACTGATGTGTGGACTACAGACAGGGGCGTCCCCGACGGGGGGGGGGGGGGTCGCGGGGGTCGCGACCCCCCAATCATGAGAACCGGGGGGGGGTGGGGGGTGGACCCCCCACTTTTAACGATGCTGAGTATGCCTTTTTGAGCTATCTTGTCAGTGAAGTTGGCGTCAGCACTCAGCAACATCATTAAATACAACGTCAGATTCAGAATCGCTTCAAGAGCTCCCTAGTCCCTCTTGCTTATAGTTCAATAAGCTGTGGGGTGGAACATCAGCATGACAATATTTTAAAGTAGCCACTATTCTAGTTCCTTTTTATCCCTCAAAGGAGTGGGCGCGCCAAAACTGACCCAAGCGTTCGTCTGAACTCTGATTGTCAAAATAATGGTTGCAGTCGATTCGTCGGATGACGTATCAACTATCAGCAACTACGAGGTACCTACCAAGCCTCAGCCCTGGCTACCCTCCGGCCTGCCTGCATAGGGGGAAGGGGGTCAGATGGTGGACCCCTCTCGGGCTTTCCCAATAAGACGCTGAAAAGGAGCCTATTGCAACGAACCTTCCAGTGACCTCGAGTTTATCAATTTTACACCTACTCTAAAATTTATTGGCCTTGATTCGAATATAGATAACCTTGGTTCAGTTTTTCGAGTTTTATTTGCTTCCATTTACAAGTGTAGTTCTTGAAGCTGATTTCGAGTTAAGCGCCCGTTTGAACATAAGAAGTAGTTTTGATAAAGGTTATGTAACATGTTACGAAGCTATCGGTGGTGGTTGTCACCCACTCTAAATGGCCGGCAGGAAGCCTGTAGGTCGACCTGACCTGACCCGACCCGATCTACCCCAAATGCATGAAGTCATCATCTTTGTTCAAAACTAACATGGAAATCGTACTCGGGACCCCGATATCAGCTACGGCTCACAAAGTTCTAGCAGGTCCCGATTTTCCCTATATTTTTGGGCGTTGACATAAGATGACCCGGCCAAGACCTTGAAATTGGGCATCATCGACTTTCTTTCATCACGGGCAGCATTCTCGCGTTTCTGCGAAGCTCTACCTCGATCAGGGGCCGAAAGCATACCTTAGCGTTACGTTGGTAAACGTTTTACCTTAGCGACCCGTAAAACACGAATTTATCTTCGCCTCCAGCTCTGTGCGAGCCACCGCTTCGTCAAACCCGGGTGGACGACGAGGGTCGTTTGGGAACAAAGGACAGAGGCCATTCTTATAAAGAAAAAGGACGGAGGGACGGAAGGAAAAAAAGAACTCAATGAATTAAACGATTCCGTCCTTTTTGGTTATCATAAAGGTTCCGTCCCTCTACCCCTCCCCCTTCGTTGTTTTGCTAGGATGCGTTTTTTCGTCTAAATGATCAAGAGCTTAGTAAATGAAACAGGAATTATTTCCTGCAATATTTTCTTATAAATTTCGTCACAAAGAATGCAATAAGACTAAGAAAATACTGTGTGATCGCTATAGGGTATAATAAAATGAGAACCTGCAATTATTTGGGATCATATTTGAATTTTTATGGGACCGGGGACTGTTGTCTGCTACGATACATAGCCTTGGCCAGAGGCCTTGGCTACGATCAAGGATAATATAGATAGGCGAAGTATGTAATATGTTGTAGTCTTTCCTGCTAGGCTGAAACCCACCAAAGATTGTTTTGCGTATAAATGTGGTAATGCCTATGTCTACTCAGTGATAGGATGTCTAATAAGCGGTAAGGGAACAACGCAGACACCCTGAGTTAGCGTGCGGCTCGGGACAAGCGGTAGAGATAAAGAGGAGGGGAT